ACTGACTGTGTAGAGTATTATGTTTTAAGCCCTTAGGCATATAGTTATTATTGGGCAGAATCAGGATTTATACTCCAATTATTCCTCATTGGCAAGACCTTGCCTCCTGAGCTATATACATACCTACTGGAGCTCTAGTGACTCTGTGGGGTCATACATTACAAATCCTGGATGCAGCTAGAAACCATGACTTCCTTCTTTGATGCAGTCCTCTTTAGATGGGCTACAGGTAGATTCTTCTTAGACTAGTGGCCAAAAGGAAATACTGCATTCTTAAGCCATTCAATGGAATGTATTCTTCTCCATTTGAGGCAGCCTCTCTGGTAAGGGTTGGATGCATAAAATCTCTTCTGGGTTTGCAAGCAAGTGAGCATCAGATTATGTGGTAAAAATGTAAAGAATCCCTGTGCCATTGTAGTTACGGGTAAATTGTAAAAAAAAAATGCAAAGCTCCTGGATGTTCAATTATTTTCATGTCACTCAGTGCATAATGGCTTGACCCGTTGTGTTACACATGGGAAGTGTCACATAGTGCAACCTGCCTTGAGTGCAGCCAGGCAGCTGTACTATTCTCTCCCTTCTCTACTGAAACATCTTTTACTTCCTGACTGCCTAATCAGGGAACTGTTCTTTACCTTCCATCAAAGCAAGTAATAAAAACAGTACCTTCTCAAGACAAAATCAAGATAAAGAGGAAATGGAGGATGAGAAACCAGTTGCAGATGGATGATCCAGGGAGCGAAAGTTCCTCTGGAATTAGGGAGGGTGGCAGAGAAAAGAAATCAGGCATCCCTTGTGGACCATGCAGATATGATTGGATGACTCAGGAAAATGCTGATGGCACTTAAACATCTCCACCTGGAGGTTCTACGGATGGGTACTTAAAATTGAATATGCCCAAAACTGCATCGAATAACATCATCTCCCCAGGCTTTTAGAATCAGCCACCTTCTATCCAGTTGGCTGAGATGAAAACATGGAATCTTGTGCATGTGTATTCTACATCTGCATCCCTTGTCTGTAGCCCCAGATCAACCCTCACCAAACCACTCTAACTTGTTTATTGCTTCTTATTCCTTGTCCCTTCTCACTTGAGTTATTCATTTCAGTTCTTCCTGGCAGGGGTACCTGTCGTCATTTTTACCCTGCTTCCTGAGGGTCTTTCTCAAACTGTGTGTTTGTGTGTGTGTGTGTGTGTGTGTGTGTGTGTGTGTGTGTGTATTTGTCATTCAATTATGTGGTTCTCGAGTGTGATTTCTGCAAAGGACTGCTGAATGCTAAGAGGCCGTACCCCATCCTGTACTTTTAAATCTTGGCTGGAATTTTCTTGAAAATAAATACTTTATTAGCTTGTTCTCTCTGTGCCTGTAGTGGTGCCCTGGAAAGTTAGGATCTACCAAAAACATTATTAATGACATTTTCCAAGCTTGTACCCATTAATAATCCTAGCCTCAGAAGTGCATGTCTGTTTTTTCATTTCAATACAGGAATGACATTGAAAGCATGGTTTGATTTTTCTAGAGAAGCAAACATAGTTGGAATGATCTCTTTCAGAAGCTTAGGGAAATGGGGGTGTTGAATGGTCTAAGAGAAGGATAGGAGAATAAAACCAATATTTACTTTGCAACAAACTGTTTTTCACCAGGTTTTATGCTAACATTTTTACATTTTTATCTATTCACATCTAATAATCTAATACTTCTAGCAGGCATTCTTGGAAGGTGGCTATTATAACCACTATGTTGTCAGAGTTGAGAATGAAGTTCAGAGAAGGCAAAAATCGGTCCAAGGCAATTTGTAAAGTTGTAATTTTAAAAAAGATATTCCCCTAGTTGTATCATGCCACATTCTGGGGAAAATACCTGGTTTGAAGATTCCAAGTACATGAAAAGAAAATATGTCTTACCGGAGATAGTTAATGGAGAAGTAAATACTGTATTCACTCTTGTGTTTGAAAAAAGAGATGCTTTTAAACACTTAAATGCAAATAAGTCTGGCATCTCATCCCAAGGCACAGCAGTTGAGGCTTCTTATCTAGTGGAGTCTAGTACCCGAACCCAGTAAGGCCACCCTTCACATACACTGATGATGGTCTATCTTCACTCTTGCCAGGTCCCAGGTCCCAATAACAGCTAATTCTCTCAACTATCAACAAGGCTCATGGAACTCCCTGGTACAGAAGGGAGAATGCACTCTGTAACTGTACATGCAGATCAAGCTTTAGATTCCAGTGAGTTTTGACATCTGACACCATGAATGTTACTTCAACCCCTCCCAAAGGTCTTGAATCAGCTTTATAATGAACTGCATAGTGTGCTCCTTTGGCTGTTTAGAGTTTTAATGCTTTTCATGGTATTTGTTCCCTTAGCAAATATTTATTTATTCCATCACAGACTTCTTGAAAAACAAGTGTGCCATAGTCTGTTAACCTGCTTATTTTGTATTAATCATATCTATGAGCAATGTCCACTGCCTATCTTAGTTGTTTACATCCCAGATTTTGTCCCTGAGGGATCAATAGGAAAAAAATAAGAAAGTCTCCTAATTATCTCCCAATATTTGTTCTGTAGCCTACAACCATTTTCTCATCTCTCTATCACAATTCTTGCAATATCTTACTGTAATTGTTCCTTTTTATACAGCTCTTTTCTTATCTTAAATGTGAGCTCCTTGAGGGGAATTTTTCCATAGATGTGGTGCATGCATGCTAAATAAGTGAATAAACAGAGTGCCTCTGGGGAAGAAGAGAGCCCTCAAGACCAAACCAATACCCAATATGACAACACCAAGGAAGCATCACTTGTGGTGTCACGGCTTTTGGGTTCTAGAACTGATCAAAGGTCCTGGTGAGTATGAGTGTCAGTTCCCCTTGGCCTTCGTGAAGGTAACTAGTTGACTAATCATCAAATAAAGGGGTGTGGAAAGAAGGAGGAGTCACCATTCGGGCTTTTCCTGTCTGCTTCTGTCGTCATTTGCTGTGTTCACTGTCCGACTGCAATCTTTGTGTTAGGAAGTTAAGCGTGAAGTTGAACATGCTGGCACACATCTGTAATCTCAGCACTGGGGAGCACAGGAAGGAGGGTTCTCAGTAAAAGACCTGTGTATACCATGGAAAGAAACTTTGTCCCCAAGTAAATTCAAATTAATAAATAGCAGTAACAACCAAACAGACAAAAATATGAGATGTTAAGTCTCATCTGAGTGTTTTCACTCCTAATTCTCCGTCTTCTTCCCAAAGTAACACATCTCCACAGGAGCAGGTATGCCCTTACACGTCTCCCAAAACACTTCTGTAGGTATACGTTTTTAATAGGGTGTATTTGGGGTGAAGATAACAAAAATGCATCCAATCGTTTAGTAACTGTGTTTCAGAATAACTAGATAAAGCCTCCCTTGTGGAATAGAGAGATAACAGCCAAGATTTTCATTACCTTGAAGTGGGCTGAGAAATAGGTATTTCTGCCAAAGGCTAGCTGGAGGATGCTCAGCAGATGGATTGACAGGTAAGAAATGGATAGATGGCTTAAATAAATAGACCGAGAACACAGACACATTAGGGAGGCGCATGATTGTATAGAGAATTAGGGTAGTATAAATGGGGAAATAATATGTGAATGGCCAGGTGAGTGGTTAGCTGATGGAAGAATAAATTGGTACACTGATGTTTGATGGCACAGAGTGGCCAGACGGAATGAAACGCTGATAAATGCCTCCACCAGAAAAAGAGCAGGTAGATGGGAAATTGTTGTAGCATGGACAGGAACAAAAGAGTGTCAGGTGCAGAAAGGATGAAAGTGATAAATAAAGGAAGAAGGAAGAGTAAGGAGAGGAAGGGGATGTGGAAGGAGTGAAGGTCGGCCGGGGAATGGGGATGCCATGATCTCACACTGAACACAAGGAGAATAGAAACTCTCAGTCATCAGTATCAAGTGTTTACTTGCCATTTTGATGTACAAAACACACATATAGGTCATGTAGTAAGGTGTCCGTGTTCCTTTTCCTTAGGAGAAACTGAGCCACAGAAGCTCTGGCTTACCCAACAAGAATACAAATCTCAAAATTTTAGCGTAAGTGCTTTTCCAGGAAAACTACTTGTGGTGTGAAATGAGCTGAAGAATCTTCATCTATCCTGGGCTGAAGTCCCATATCATCATACACACTCCCCTCAGCTTTATCAGTGAGAAGCCTAGAGCAACCTAGTGGTTGAAATAAAAAGAAAAGAAAAACAAACAAACAAACAAACCAGAATTTTGAGATGGAACAATGAGAAGGGTTTTAAAATAACAAATGGTGCAGATGAGAAATAAAAAGTCTGAGTGTGTCCAAGATGAAATACCTACTGGGAAGGATTCATTGAGGGAGAGGTTGCTGAGAGAAAATGATTTTTAAAAATTTATTATCCATTCCTTTAGAAAAGCAATGTGGCAATGTAAGCGATGTTGGGATTTGGGAAAAAGAAAATGATGTTTTAGAAGTGGCAACCTGGGAAATAGGGCATACTCTCTATTGTATGTATATGCATGACAGTTCAGGCTATGAATGGTAATTAATCCAGTGGCACCTCCATTCAAGAATGAGTATACATCATCCTTTGCCAAAAGTTGCACACTGTAGTCGAAGGAGACAGTGGGGACTATGGAGGGAAAGAATGGCCAAGCTGAGAGGAACCCAGTCATTGTTTTAGGAAACTTTTGATTTCAGTTTAGTCAATGCCAGAAAATAATTGAGACCTGAGGCTTGAGCTGAATGTTTTGGTGTTTGTAAACAGAGCAGATATTTGCTAGACAGAAGATACAGAAAGTAAATAGAGAGAGTGTGTGTGTGTGTGTGTGTGCAGAAGGAGGAGAGAAAAAACAGGAAAAGGGGGAGGAAGAGAGGAAGGTGGAGATGCTACTCATATTTTTGATCACCTGAACTCCCCAAAGTCTAAAACACAACTGCTTCATTTTTTTCCATTACTGGATCTCAAAGGGACATTCTAATGAAGAGTCCCCTAAAAGTTACAAATTTCTTCAAACTTTATTGATACACTGCACAATCACAACCATCTTGTATTCATCCTGAATTAGAAAAGGTTACAACTACAATGTAACATGCACAAATTCAGGTAGTATATTCACCCTCAATACAATGATTGACAGAAATCAAGTCTTCATTGATTTTTGAAGAAAAATAGGAAAGGAAAGAAAAATGTTTTAAAGGCTGACAAAGTCATATTCTTGTATCGTGTGATAAAATTTTAAAGCATCAGAACATAGATTTGTTTTAAGAATAATTGTGAAAATGGACACATCCATTGTCCAACACAGCTATTAACGGCACCATTGATAATCATATAAGGTTTTTTAATCTAGAGGACTCTGAACTTGACAGATACATTTTCGTACACCCACACATTCCTCACAATTGCACTTTACATGTCACGAGAATTTCTGAATGATTAAAAATGTTCCTTTTCACTAACACAAGGGCAGCTATTATTACTTACCACTGTTATTATTGAGATTCTTAAATTCTGCCAAATAACCTGGGATGGAGCCCCATAAGGATGGTAGAGGCTCCCAATATTTTTTTCTCCACCTAGTGGTGTGGAACAACTATGTGCCTTAAAATGGTACCACTCAGAGGAGGGGAAGTCTCTTCCAAAATGCTGGAAATTGTGTTTTGCTGACTACTATCACTATGAAGACAATTGCAGTTAATTAAGTCTATTCCCCGTTCTTTTGGACTCCGTGTTCTGCACCTGAAGGCTAAATTGCACTGGTTCAGCTTTGTCTTTTTGTCACATTTTTAATTGCAAATCTATTTCTTCTTCCTTCCATTTACTTCTCTTCTCTTAAGTAAGAAATGAAAGAAATGAGCATAGTATTTTTATTTGTTTGCTTTTTCCTGTGGTCATTAGAAGCTTTCATCCTATGGCATCCTGTACACTGTTGCCTTCCTTGTTAAACACCTGTGAAGAGCTACTGCAGCTACTCAAATGCATTTGTTTTGAAAGAAAGAGAGAGGGGAATTTTGGATAATAAGGGGGAAGCAATTGTACATGAGGATTTCTAGGAATAAGAATTATGCCAAATAAAACCCAAATATTCTTGCTGTTGGAGAAAAATACATTTTGTCCCAAAATTAAAAATAAGAATTATGCTGCTTCCTCTAACTCCATCAGGAACAGCTTTTGGGTCCCTGATTCTAGGCACTGTTGAACCATGTTTTCCTATCCTGGTGAAAACTCAGGATCAAGTTGGGGACAGATACTCTCTCATAACTTCACAAGCTATTACTCTTCACCACCTCTTATGGGTCTGGTAATGACCATATAGGCTACTAAGAACATGTTCCCATTGGCCCTGAAATCATCAACCAAAATATTAGTATTAAATTTCCAACCATTCATGATCCAGTGACTGTGATAAACACAGAATCAACTGTCCATTCTGGGGCTTTTCTGCTCTTTTGGTATTTTTTCTAAGATGGGGAGAATTTGCTATTCCTCTTTTCTAGGACAACTTGACCTGAGGGATGCAGAAAAAGATTCTTGAATCTCAGCCTCAGCAGTAGAGCTCCTTGAGAGCCAGACCACACCAGATTTTGAAAACTAACTTCCCAACTCATGAACAACATCCCAAAGAGGTATGAACTTCAAAGGGAAAAGACACTGTCAGCCTGGCGACACACAACCCTCCCTTTCCTTCTGTTTAACTGTACACAACCGTAGTCAACAGCAGAAGAGTTGTGTACCTAGCTATCTGCATCAGAGCTATATATATTTTGACAACTACATCTCCACCCTTCCCAATGGGAACAAGAAAGAAAATCTAAACACCCTTGATTAAACTTGCAGATGACTATATCAGGCACTTGACATTAAACTACTCAAAAACAAGCTTGGCCAGAGCCATAACACTAGCACTTTCATTGGCATCACTTTGGTGGAAGGACAAATTAGCATTGTTTTGGGAAGGGGAAAAGTTTTAGAATAACTACCTTTGCTGAATCCCTTTCCCTTAATCTCTTGAAAATTCTTAATGGTTTCCACTCAGAAAACCTACAACATTCTACCAGTTACTTGGACTAATATGATTCTTTCTTTCTAACCTCATCCCTTCTTCATGCCCACCCTTGACAGGCTGAACAAGTCTGTCTAGTGGACCTGATCCACACCCCCTCCTTGTGTAAGATTGGAAAGTCATGCGGAAGTGTGGGAGTTGTTTGTAGTGAGCAGCTGTTGATCTACTTGCTTCAAAGTGTTGGGAATCAGCTCCCATCACATGGAGCTGTTGTCACCAAAGTCACTCAGATACATAGGAACTGGAGCATGTATGTTGTAAGAAGTCATTTCATATCGGGCACCCAGTCACCCAGTCACCTTGAGTCATTTGTACTTGGTTTTCTTTTTCCCAGACAAGAGGACTGGCTGGAATAAATTTTTTTCTTCTGAAGTTTGGATGTAGTAGGTAACTACCAGGGACACGTCTAGCATCCAGTCAAGTAGGCACGGCAGAATTTCATGGAGACCCTGAGTCCATACTCAGTTGGGTTCTGATGATCTGCTTCTGCAAGAGCAGTTACAGCTTGTCCATTTCAAGCAGCACATCGCCCCAACGCTTTTCAGTTCCCCCGGCATCCACGTTTCCTTTTCTCCAAAGTAACAAGTGTAGGATTATTAGAAAACTCAAATGCCACATTTAAGTTTCATACAATGCTTGACACCAACCCAATCCCAGGTGCTGAGTGTGGTGACAGATCTGAAATTCATGTATCCGACCTGTAATTCTGACTTTGTGCCTGCTCCTGATTGCCTCTGGAAGTTGTAATAAATAGACTGTTTTTGGCACATCATTTATTCTCTCAGAGTCTCATTCTTGGCAGCTCACTAGGAAATGCAGATGTCTGTTTACAGCTGGCAAGTAGAGTATTAATTTTGCTCACACGAGCTCTATCTCTTATGACAGTGCCGAGCTTTTGTATGCCAAGGAAGGTTGCCTTTGTGTCTATGTGAAAATGTATGCAAAGGTATATATGTACCCACTGTGGGTATTGTATTTAGGTAACCATAGTGGCTCAGAGCGGACTGGAGCAAGTGATCAGCTAAACTTTAAGGGAACTGAACTCTAATGGAGCCTATAGTTAGTTTTTAGAGGTGGACCTGAAAAGGGCCCCTTAGGGAGTCAGGACTTGTCTGTGAGAAAGTCACTGTTGGTGCTCCTTGCCAACCACTCAGTAAGTCAGTCCTTACAGAGATTCTTTTGTGGCCTTCAATGTTCTTCATTTGAACTGCGGGTTCCGTTGTTGGCTGAGTTCTTCTTTTCTTAAGAGGCAATGCTGAGAGGCTGGATTTGATCTTATTTGTACACTAGGCCTGCTTCCAGCATAGGAATTTGGGGACATTCATACCCAAAGTGCTAAGGAAACGGCCTAGGAAACAGTATAACTTACACTTCCAGTCTCTGTTTGCCATGTTGTGTTAATCAAGTGCTTGGAAATTAAGTCAGTAGCTCAAGTGCCCTCAGCTTAGAAGAGCTTTCTGAAACAAATACCAGAGTTGTCAACACACGCGCCATGTAATTGGCCTCCATCAGCCCTTTGCTGGATAATTTTCAAACATTCAAATCAAAACTGCAGCAGAAGGGTGATGGTTAGCAATAGTTCTCACACCTCGGCTGATGGACTGTTGTCTTTACACAGACGGGACAGATGTGTGGTTTTCGTCAGGTTCTTTCTGCTAATGAAAGCCAGCCAACAAGAAGTTCCTCCCGGCTGCCGAGGTGCACGGTTTTGAAAGGCCGAGAGCAGCACGAGGTTGGTACCTTAATCTTCCAGCTGTTAAAGGAGAACTGCAGCATAATCAAGGCTTCTCCAGGGTTCATCTGCTTCCCGAGAAGGTGGTTCAGGAAACAGTCTCTCTGGGAATCATGAGTGACTGATCTTTAGATTGCTACTTTGGTCCATCTGTTCATAATGTTTAGTTTGGGTGGATGGTTTTCCACATTCCCAAGGATCCATGGCATAGGAAATTGCTCTTCTGTGTAGTTAGCCTGTGAGATCACTGGCTTTCACATAAGAAGTTGCTAGGCAAATTTGAAGATGGCAATGTCTATTGATGGTGGCAGAGAAATGGAGATAGTGGCATAGACACATATGATTAGAGGTTAATGTGGTGATGAATTGGTAGTGAGTTGTGGGAAGAAAAACAGAAAACAGTCCGATAATTACATCGATGTTATGATAAATAGAGCAAATGGATTGTGAGAAAGACAGGTGGGTAGAACTAGATGGAGAGAGGAATCAATTGAGTAACTGGATAATGGTATGATTGCTTTGATAGCTTGATAAAATGATTAGCCAGCTATTGATCACTTTTTTATGAGTTGTGACAGCATTTAGGGGAAGTACTAGCATTAATATACTTCCCTCATTTGGTTACTTGACTTCTAAATTTTTAGTTTTAGATTGCATGCATGTAGTTCCTACAGCTAGTGGAAGAAATGGATAGAGTGGAAAGGCCGGAGAAGACGGTGGAATTTTCCATGTGGATGTACCTATATGTATATCTATGGGTATAGTGAGATAGCTTCTTACAAAGAAGAGGTATGAAGTCTAATGGAATAGGTGATGATATGCAAGGGGATAAGGACATGTAGTTTTTAACTGGGAAACGGCTTGAAAGCTTAAAATACAAAGACAATTAAGACACATGGATGCAACTCTTACTGTGTACTACATTGTGAGTCAAGTTGTACCTTCAGGTGTTTGTCATGGGACATAGTCTTTTTGCCCAATTTTGTGGAGTGCCTGTGTGTGTGTGTGTGTTAATGATTGTGGAAAGAGAAGTAGAGAAAAGGAAGGCCAAGGTAGCAGGAACAGATTCCATTTGGGGGCACACCAATGAATGATTATTCTACCCTTGGTAGAACCTTGCCCACCCCAACCCCCAACCCCATTCATTCAAAATAAAATGAAAAATCAAATAAAATTGAAAATCCCAGAAAACAAGCCAAAAAAATCAAGAATAACAAAAATAAACAAAAAGAAGCCCAAACTGGTTTGCCCTCCGCAGTGTAGATTAAAGTCTGTGATGTGGAGAAGCAGGCGTTGATGAGAGGACCTATGGTTTCTTATCAAAACTTGATGAAGAAGTGGGCAAAGAAGGTCCCTGAGAGCCAGAGACAAGCCAGTGCTCTAGAGGCCGAATTTACACCATCAATGACTGCTCCAGGCCCTGTGTAGGGGAAAGAGAGACAGACTCATTAGCACATAGCCTATAGAGCCCCAAATTTACCCCTAGCAAACAAGTGCAAGTCATGCTTCTCAGTGGCAATGTCCCAAGTACCACTCCTCCCCACAGACCCATCTAGGTTGAGAGAGCCAAAAAATGCCAAGTGGGATTGTAGAACTCTAAAAGAAAAGGTAGGGAAGGGTTATGGGTTGCTTTGACTACATTCTCTGACAGTTTGTGAATCAAAAATATGACAGAGTGAGTTGATGATAGTCAATTAAATACATAGGCCCACGATAAGGGCAACCGACAAGGATTTATAGTAAACTAAGGCATGATGACCCCTTCACTGCCTGTAACCATCATTTTTCCGTGGAAATGGGCTCCAGTCAGACAGAGGTGACCAGGAAGTAGAAAGGTATGATAGGTATAGGTGCGAAGGAGAGGGTCTCCAGGGGTGAAAAGCGAGCATTGGGGAGAGAGGAATGGAGATATTTTGTGAGTAATTGAAGTCTAGAAGCAGACTTCATCCTCTGTATGTATAATTCAGGTGTTGGAAAGCCCTTCTCAAAGCTACTATGAAAGGGTGACTCAAGACGTGAGTGGGTATATCTCATCCACCAGTCATGACTCTAATATCCACAAGCAAAGCTCTGCCTCCCCAGAACAAACCATCACCCTACAGATGGCTCATCAAGAAAGAATTATCTCTTGTTTCCTCCTTTCTTGTCTCCTTCCTCTGGCCCTATGGAGTCATGCGCATTCCATAGATAAATAAAACCCCAAAGTCATGAGTCAGGCTCCTTCAGCAATTCATCAGAAAGACTACCAACTGCTCTTATCCTCACTTGCCTAGGTCCAAGGACACCTAGGCAGGTATTGAACTCTGTCTCTTGGTCTCTTCCACAAACTTTGTTTGCAAACACTCAGAGTTGTAAGCAAGACCCTAGTCCGTAGCTCACAAGCAAATGTACCCCCAGGAAAAGCAAATTGTGTATGATCAAAGGATTGAAAGCTGCAGAGAGATGATTCCACAGGACCAGAGATAAAGGGAAAGATGAGCAGACAGACAGCACACCTCTTCTACCAGCAACTAAAACTAGGCCTCCATTGTCTCTTTGGTAAGCAAACTAACTTTGCAGGAAAGAGTTGTTGAAAAGAGCTGAAGATCTTCATGGGTCAGAACAAACTAATGGCTGTCAATTTTTATCATGGCCTTGCTTAGAAAGGGGTATATTCAGCTCTGTTTTTAGGGATGTCCAGGACTCTTAATTTAACAGTGTGACTGTAGTTATTTCTTCCTCAACGATTTCCAAACAGGTAAATTTCCCCTTGACTTACAATGTATGCAGTGCTCCTATAGACTAAAATTTCTTATTTATTTGATGATAGTTTGAAGTTGGGCATGTAAAACTGCATTTATACTATGGCATATTCACAAACATCAGTAAGAGCCAGATCTATCATAGTGCTCTGGGACCCATGGAAGTGAAAAATATTGGTGAAAATTAGACTGATTCTTGGGCCCCTAGCAATGCCAACACATATCCTAATTGATTTTATTTGCCTATAGAATGAAATAGGCTTGAAAATGTTTAAGTTTCAGAGCAGTGCAATTCTCATATTGTGTCAGAGACCATCAGGGGTAGACAAAGTCTTTCAATACAGTCTCAGCTGATCTCCAACCTGCAATTCACCTGCTACAGTTAAATAAGTTTATAAGAAATTAGACAAGGCAGATTTGTAATGCTTATATTTTCATTCACAAATTTCCTTCCAAGCTGGTGTCTATAATACACAGCTTTACCTCAGCATCTACAGGATCCTGTTCCAGAAGCCACTCCATATACCAAAATCTGCAGATGCTCAAGGCTCACAGAAAAATGCAAAGTGCTTTAACAGACCTACATATATTCTTCTGTATATTTAAGTTGGGCCTAGAGTATTAGTGTATGTAATTCTATGTAAATAATTGTTACATTGCTTATAGAGTAACAGCAAGAAAAGGAGGCTGTACTTATTCCTTACAGATAATATTTCCTCCCTCCCTCTCTCCTCATTCTCCTCTTCCTCCCCCACTTTCTTCCTCTTTCTGTTTTTCTTGTTCTGAGGATTGACCTTTATATATGCTGGACAACTGCTCTGCTACCGAGAAATACCTCAGTCTAAACAAAACATTTTCAATGTGCAGTTGGTTGAGTCTATACATGAACGACTTGTGGACACTGAAGAGTATTCACATGTATGTATACTTTTGTTTAAAAGCACATATTATTATATATAATAAAACTGTAACATACATCAGCCTAGTTATATATGTTCATACATGTAAACATATATGTATACTTGTGGTCAGCTCATCTACTATGTTGATATTAAAACATGAAGGACTTGTGGACACTGAAGAGTATTCACATGTATGTATACTTTTGATTAAAAGCACATATTATTATATATAATAAAATTGTAACATACATTAGCCTAGTTATATATGTTCATACATGTAAACATATATGTATACTTGTGGTCAGCTCATCTACTGTGTTGATATTAACTTGGGAAACAACAGAAGCCTATCCATTCTCAAGGGGTATTTAGTGTAGGAGACAGTGGGTAGACTTAAGCTTTTCTGTGAAAGTCTGTTACTAAGAGGTTGTATCCAGTTGAAGTAAGAGATGGAGACAGAGGGAGGTGGAACCCTAAAGAGAAATCAATGTTTTGGGTGGTATGGGTGAGATGCTGGGAGTTCACTGGATAGAGGGTTACAAGCATATACCTTTTGAATATTCCAGAGTAGAAACCATGAGGATGACTTAGTAAATACACTGGCTGCTTGATGTGCTGAAGACAATAGGCATGTGCTTCTATTGTGTTCTGTATTGAGCAAGCATGAGCCTAAAGGTTAAGCATATTTAAATTCCTTTATCCATAAAATCAAACTCTCAAAATAGACTAATCCTAATTGGTAGACTGCTAAACTTAGGAACAGAACAGTTAAAAATCTTGTCTAGGATCATTCAACCTATACCCCCGGAGCTGAAACAGAACTAATCACTGTCCGCAAATCTGTGTGTTTGTTCTGACAACCCTTATTCTTCTCTGATGAAAATGGCTCTTCATGTGTCCCAGAAACCACAGCACCGAGGGATGATGGGAATAGTAGACTGGGAAGTAGATTATATGCTTCAGCTGCTCCCTAGTAGAGTGACTTCCTCCCTGAGCTTTGGGTCTACCATCTGCAAATAGAGTGGAGGTAAGCTGTGATGGCCTGCAACATTCCATTCCTGCTTTCTCAGTCCAAGGAGACTGTGCCCCCTGTGCTAGGAGGGACAGCAGGTAAGCGGACAGCAATCAGCAAGTAGTGCAATGTTTTACCATGTGGTTTTTTGGTACCACTGCATGACTGTCCCCTCCTAAGAAAACAAGAGGCTCAGAAACATCCATAAACCTCACAGTCCCATTGTTGGCCCCAGTTTCTGGGCAGCTCCATGGAGCTGTTTTTTATTTAACAAGCATGACAATCACCTGCTGGATGTATCAGGTGATATCATAATTTACTACCAAAGCACCTTTGATTAATCAGTCAATGAAAAGTAGAGATTGCAGCCCAATAATTAGTATAATCCACCACGATACGGATTAACAACAACAGTTTTTTTTTCTTGTACAAATCCTGGTCACATTTGAGATTTGGCTGCTGGTCCAATTGGGAAGAATGGTGCTCTACAGGATGGCTCTGAGGCTTTGTTCAGAGTGGCAAGGCAGTGGCTCACATCCTTGTACCTCTGTGTTGGAGGGCCATGAGACAAAACATCAGCAATGAGCTGCTTTTTAAACTGTGTCCTTACAGTAACACTACTTGGCTGAGAATGAGAAAAAGAAAGCACTTGAGTTGGGAAGCTCCTATATACCACAGTCAGTTTGATTTAGGCAAAAGTTTCTTTGTGGTAGAATATGGAAAGGGGATGAATTGATATTGTTTAACCAACATGATGGACACCTATGCTGTGTTGGAGCTCACCTTGGAACCTTAAGCTGGAATTGGCTTTTGCATGCCTACATACGTTTGGTGAATCTGGAGTCATACTGCACTTCAGGGACCTGGAGAAACTCCTGACCCCGGGCTCACAAAAGTCCTATACGCATCTCCATAGTCAGAATCCTTTACTTAAGTGCCAACATCTTTGGGTACCAACTGCACAGGCTTCTCCAGGTTATGGGGCAGCTAACACCGGTTTGAACTTTAACAATTGTAATAAAGCATTTAACTGATGGTCAGGGTTTTATGTTGGTGGTTTTTCTTTGTTATAATGATTACTAGTGGAAGGATGAGATAGATTCAGTGCTGTGCTCTGATCTAGCAAACTTACACTGAGATGTGCCTGCAGAAAGGCAGAGGGTCTGGAGAAAAGGTAGCACTAAAAGATGGACTAAGGGACAGGTCCATGGAATTGGGTAGCAAGGCTCTTAACAAGGCTGGAAGAAAGGTGTTCTGGCCACTTTGCCTCCTTGATCCCTCTTCTTTGTCTATGAGGTTTAAAAAAACCTTTGGGCTAAAGTCATTGATAATTCCCAAGTATAAGCAGTCCTCTTAACATTTGAGTCAGGCCAATTTAAGTTTACATCTTTACACTGGCTTGCTACAAATGTGTCCTTAGATGGGGTACTTTGTGTTTTCTTGTTGTAAATTGAAATAATTGTATGAAGTACATAGTATTCAAAAGGTTAAGATAGTTCCTGAGACTCAGTAGTCATGGAGTTGAGGTAACTGTTGGTGTAGATTGATGGTTTTCCCTGTGGCCTCTTCTGTATCTTTGCTAGGATGAATGCTAGATTATTTCGATCTTCCACCAGTATGTTGAACTTGGATGTTTTGGGACAGAGAAGCAGTTTAATGGTCAGAATGACCACTGCTGAAAGGGACCACTGGCTATAAGAGCTCCAGAGGGTGCTGAGCACCAAGGACAAGCGGAAAGGACCCACAACCAAGCTTCACAGTCAAG